GAATGATTTTGTATTTTCCATACAATATGGACAAGCTAACTTGCCTGAAGTGTTCCAACCTGAGAGCATACCATATGCAGGAAAGTCACCAATTGTCCAAAGTAATGCTGCTCTTAGTGTAAAATTTTGTTTGGTGGAGATATCATATGTACTTACTCCCTCTTCCCATAATAAACTTAAATCATCAATCAAAGGTTGTAAGAATACGTCAATCTTTAATTTTGGATTATGTGGCCCTGAAATTATAAGTGACAGAAACATATAAGGAGTAGTCATACATAACTCTGGAGGAAGATTGTAAGGAGTGAGTATCACAGGCCAACATGAGTACGGTGTAGCCGACTGACTGAATGAAGTAAAACCATCTGCGTATAAACCTAATCTGACATTTCTTGGTTCTACCGCAAATGTGGGATGTGTACGATCAAAGTGCTTCCAAGCCTCTGGTTCTGATGGATGTGTGATAACACCTTCTTGTGGAATGTGATCATTATGTCATCTCATATGTGCAGCAGATCTCATGGATGGATATAGCCATTGTAGTCTCAGAATTATTGGAAAGTAGAACATCCTACTAACATGCACATCCTTCTGCTTCCTTTTATTTCTAGATTTTGGTTTAAATCTTGGTGCATTGCAATGACGGCATACAATTTATGCGATATCTTCTTTAAAGTATAAAATGCATCCATTCAGACAACAATCTATCTTTATGTATGTCAAACCAAGTTTGGAAACTAACTTCTTTGTTCGATATAGATCTGTAGGAATTAAATTATCTGTCGGATTGGTTTCCTTAATCGCGTGTTTTCCCGTAGTGGTGATAGATGTCGACAATATGAACAGTTTAATTGTAATATTATTAATTTTACCAAATAAAATAGAAGTTATTAAATTTTGTATGATTTGTGAACAAATAATTAGAGTATTTTTATTTAAACATATTATTAATACATGTAATTAATGTGTATTGAAAGGATGTATTATATTGTACTATATTATTATTGATTTGATAGAAAATGATAGGCAGATTGATATCATATATATGATATGTAGATTGATATCATATATATATAAGATGACAATCCCATGTGATGCCTTCAAGATTCATCGATTTACTGATAGAAATCATAAAGAGATGGAGACTAATTAGGAGTTATAAGGAGTGCGAATGACTGATTCATGTAATTCAAGGAGAGTTACAACGAGTATCTGATTGAGAGTTATAAGGAGCAATTGATTATGAGTCATAAGTGCAGCAATAAGATACCCTCACATGAATATCTGATGGTAAAATATTTATTATTAATTAATGACCACTGATACTTACGTGTTACTGATGCTGATTATATTGATTACTTAAATACATATTCTGATTACCATATTTTGATATTGTACGAACATTGATACCGAGACATTGATTTCCATTACTAATTGTTGTTAAGAAGTACATATATTGATCTGATTGTTATAATTGATAAATTGACCATACTAGAGTGATTGAATGATATGACTGAATTAAAATAATTGTATGATAAAAATAGAATAATTGATTGATTGACATAGATCACTACTGATTCACAGTAGTGATAATGAGTATATAACATACATAATATATTGAGCATGTGATTAAGATATTGATATTATACATACACATCCATTTATATATGATTATGTAGTTTTTATCGATTCTTTGATTTTATTGCTTTATACAATTTATTTACAGATTTATAACATTGATTCGTCGATTTCTTAATTGATATGACACTTGCACTAGTTTAGTGATTCTCTCACTAGATTATTTTACGGTCTATAAAGTTTATTATTACTACCTACTTCATGATAATATGATTGTTGTTATTATGATTTGATTTTTGATATGCATATTGCTCATTTATCGTGTTTTGAGTTCAATTATAAGATTTGATTACTTGTTGAGCTCTTGAGTTCATTATATGCAGTTAAATGATTTCAGGTCAATACAAAGGAGTAGGAGTTTGAAATCGACCATGATCATTCAAATTCAGGTTCTTATTATTTAGCAATTCTTTTGTACTCATAGCTGAATAGTTATGATATGATTGTATAGATTCTGAGTAGTATACATGATTTTTTGGGGAAATAAATATGGATGTATATATTGATGTTTTAATCGACAGTTTTAGTTTCGTTGGGATTTATGTTGATAAAATAAATTAGGTAGTTCTGATTGTTGTATATTAAAAAATAAAATGTTATTTGACTGCTTCAAATACATTGACATGACTTTATGGTTGCAATTTGACAATCTCCTCTGTGACCTTGTGTCATCTCTTGTGAGTACCTCTAGCAAGTGCCCCTCACAATTAACCTATTAGGCTAAGGTTTTGTCTAGTCGTGTGTAGACTCTATTTTTGAGTTAGAATTGGTGAGCATCTCTTGTTGATGAAGTGAGAGAGCCTCTAATAGAGGAGAACACCCTTACGATGGCGAATTCTTCAAGGGTTCACCCATCCTAGAGCGATTGACCTATCATGATAAATACTTTTGGAGCAAGCGCCTCTCTTATTCTACCTCTTTTGAAGCATGTCTCTCTCGGTCAAGCTCCTCTAAGGCGAGTGCCTGCATTTAGGGGTATATTATGCACGCCTTCTTATTCATACCAATGCATCATAAGCATCTAATTTCTTTCAATTGGTTTTTTTTTTCTATTTCTTAAGCAGAAAAAATATTTTTTCTTGATTGAATCATTAGTTATGTCTCTTAGTTTTCCTTGCTATGGATTTATTTTCTTAATTCCTGTTGAGATAGCACCCACTTATATCTTTCTTTGATTTCTTGTTAGAAAGAGAAGCTAAGATTTACAAACTAAGGAATGTCCTTAAAGAAAAAATTTAATGAACGAACATGGAGTGTTGCAAGGAAAATTTTATTGTATTAAAAAGTCACTTTTAAAAAGCAAAAAAAAAAGCTATCCCAAACAAAACCTAATCTAAAGTTTCTTTTGGATTGGCTTTTTCCATCTTTTCTAAAGCAAAATTTTTGTACAGTTTTCTAAAATCAATGAAAAAATAGTGACAAAAATTGTTCCAAATGAAGCCTATGACTTCGGCTTCGTTTGGGACAGCTTTTTTACTGCTTCTTAAAGCATTTTTCTGATGCAAAATTTTAATTTTTTATACTAGAAGGCCGCTTTAAGAAGTAGGAAGAAAGTCGTCCCAAACGAAGCCTTTGTTGGGACTGCTTTCTTACTGCTTCTTAAAGCGACATTCTTGTATAAAAATTTTAATATTATACTAAAAAGTTGCTTTAAGAAGCAATAAAAAAGTCTTCCCAAACAAAACCTAAGACATCTTTCGGGATTAATTTTTAAATTGTTTCTTAAAATAGAATTTTAATAAAAAATTTTAATTTTTATACTGAAACTTTATTTTAAAAAACAATTAAAAAGTCGTTCCAAATAAAGCCGAACTCACTGATAAATTTGAAAGAACTAATATCAGAGCTAATTAAAGCAAGAGAAACACAATAAATCATTCCTCAAAGATTTAAATATATCACATCCAAACCAAAAAAAAAATTAATATTTCATTTTAAAATTTGAATATTAATTAATAACTAGAAAATGTAATTATTCACAAAAAATCTCCATTAATTTTTTTTTTAAGTATTTATGTTCTGCCCTCCCTTTATCAGCTACCCAACCCCTGTGGAGGGAACAAGGCGACAAGTATTTATTACTGATAGTACCCCAACACATCTCTTGTAGGCCTCTCACACATAAGAAACTCAGACTCCACAAACTGAATAATTACATTCAAACCAAACTTATGTTCTATTTGCAATAAATTTTTAGTTGCTTTTATCTTTTAGATAACAATTATAATTTTATATCTAGGAGAAAAAGATCAAAATGATGCTCAATTATATTAAAAGATCATTTTGATTCCTGAAGTTCTTAAAGAGGAACCAAAATAATTTCATCGTGGAATTATTTTAGTTCCTCTTTAAGAAGTTGAGGGACCAAAATTATCCTTTAATATAGTTGGGGACCAGTTTGATCTGTCATAAAGAGTCGAGTAACCATATTGGTACTATTCTCTTTTGTTTAGCTGATGTTTTCTTATTGTATTCTTACTATTCAAAAATCTCTGTGGTGTAAAGCTATTTTTTACCACCAAAATAACTAAGTTATTTGTTTTTTGCTATTGGCATACAAAATATAACTATATTAATATTGCATCAATTAACTCTAAATCTCAATACTTAGATCCAAAAGTAATCAGGAGAAAAGGTCTAAATGACCTCTAAATCATTTACATAGGGCTGTTTTAGGAAAAATTATTAGGTACTCCCACCTGACGTAGAGCTACGTCCTCCCACCGCCAAAAAACTCGGTTTTTGCTCGGTATTGCTAGGTATTATTTGGTAATAACGAGGAATATCATCATGTGAAGACCAATACCGAGTTATACCGAGCTATACCGAGCAATACCGAGTTATACAAAAACATACCGAGTTTTTTCTAGGAAAAACTAGGTATTTTTTGTATTGCTCGGTATAACTCGGTATTGGTCTTCACATGATGATATTCCTCGTTATTGTTTGGTATTGCTCGGTATTTGCTTGGTATTTCTTGTTTTTTAGCGCGATTTTAGCTCTGGGAGGACGTAACTCTACGTCAGGTGGGAGGACCTAATAATTTTTCCTGTTTTAGGCTTCATTTGGGACGTTTTTTTTATTGTTTCTTAAAGCAGTTTTTTAGTACAAAAATTAAAATTTTTATACTAAAAAACTACTTTAAAAAGCAACAAAAAAGTCATCCCAAACAAAACCTTAGTCTTTTGACTCCTCGAATCTGATACAAAATAATTTTACAGAGATCATTTTGGATCATATTTGAAAAATCAACATACTAAATTGAATGCATTAGATAGCTAACAAATTTGAGATCTTAATCATTCAAACAAAGAAACTGAAAGTAACAAATAAGAAAAGGTAACCAAAAATAGATATTACAATTACTTAATCTCTTCCAATAATTGGATAAATTAATTTTAATGGAAACAAATCAAGAAGAAAGTGCTGTATTTGTCAATATATGAGATGAAACACAGAAAAATTAACATTTTCTAGCACCAGTTTTATCAGCATAAGGCACAAAGCAAAAGAATGGAACTTATAAATACATGAATCCCTCATAAGTAGTCTCCCTAGATGATATTTACAAGCAAATGAAAGCCTTTTACAGTACTCAATGCATACTTACCTCACTTCTTCCCCCAGTTGAAGCAGGAGCAAATCTGCAAACAATGAAAATTTGTGAGGGGATTGTGACTTTGGGCGATCAAGTCATTAAGAAGAGTACATGTTTTAGATATCTTGGATCTATTGTTCAGAGTGATGGTGAAATAGATGGAGAAATTATCAGCAGAATTCAAGTTGGATGGTTGAAGTGGAGGAATGCATTGGGCTTGTTGTGTGATAGAAAAGTACCCCTCAAACTTAAGGGAAAATTCTATAAGATGGTGATGAGACCTGCAATGCTTTATAGTGCCGAATGTTGGCCATTAAAAGAGAAGCATAATACTAAGTGTGGCAGAGATGAGGATGCTTAGGTGGATGAGTGGCTTTACCATTAAAGATAGGATCCAAAATAAGCATATATGTGAAAAGGTTGGAGTAGCTCCAGTAGAAGATAAGAATAGAGAGAGTCGCCTTAGATGGTTTGGTCACATAAAACGACGGTCTTCCGATGACCCGGTTAGGAAAGTAGAGGTATTAGATTTGACTTATGTTAAGAAAGGTAGAGGCAGACCTAAAAAGACTAGGTTAGAAAATATCAGGAATGACCTTTGTTTATTAGATTTAAACGAGAATTTAACTTTTAATAGGACACAATGGAGAAAAAGGATTCATGTAGTAGACCCCACGTAGTGGGATAAAGGCTTGATGTTGTTGTTGTTGTATTAGTCTGGTCATTTTACCCTTAGAGACAGGATACGAAATGAGCATATACATAAAAAGGTTGGAGTAGCTCCAATGGAAGATAAGATTAGAGAGAGTCGTCTTAGATGGTTTGGTCACATTAAACAGAGGCCTTCCGATGACCCGATTAGGAAAGTTGAGGTATTAAATTTGACTTATGTTAAAAAAGGTAGAGGTAGACCTAAAAAAATTTGGTTAGAAAATATTAGAAATGATCTTTCTTTATTAGATTTAAATGAGAGTTTGAATTTTAACATGACACAATGGCAAAAAAGGATTCATGTAGCCGACCCCACGTAGTGGGACAAAGGCTTGATGTTGTTGTTGTTTTATTAGTCTGTCATTGAGCTCAGTTTCTAGAAGGATAAGACACTCACAGTAGACCTCTTGCTTCTCTTTTCATGGTGATAACTATTGAGGTAGGCTGAATCATCAGTAAGCATAGGAACTTTTGTTGCACTGGTTTGCTTCTCCTCCCTCACTTTGTTGAAGATTCCAGTAAAGCCATCAGCTGATGAAGGATTGTCTTCATCCCACTCACCAAATTTCGGCACTGCTGCGCCTTCCTCAGGCTGTAATAGAGAAAGCAATTTTATCAAGATAAGCTCTCAGAAATATCAAATTGTCTGTAAAAAGCTAAAATAAGAGTAAATGATCAACAAAAATTATAATTTTTGTACCAAAAAATTTTCAAACATTCACTAAATCTTAATTAATTTGGCCATAACTTTAATTTTGCAATTTTTTGGATGGAAATTAGTACTGAGAAGCTGTTAATGAGAGCATTGTGGACTTCTTCAGGTCAATCACATTAATTTGAGTTAATATCAAGTAGTGAGATTGACCACAAAAAGTTTAAAATATTTGAATAAAAAGCTTCCCTCCACCAAATTCTATCCAAAGCCATGGCCAAGTTGACAATAAGACCGAGTTGATTAAGATTTGGTGAATTATGAGACTAGGGCTTCGTTTGGGATAGCTTTCTTACTACTCTCCAAAGCAGCTTTTTAGTATAAATTTTTTTTAAAATAAAAACTTGAAAAAGCTACTTCAAAAGCAATAAAAAAGTTGTCCCAAATGAAACCTAAATTGAATACATAAAAGTTCTGTACTATGAATACATCTAATAAGTCTAAGTATTATTTTCATCATTTACTAGTTAAAATAATAAATTTGTGTCTTGTTTGAAGTAAATTTAAAAAACTAAAATGATTTTACTTTATGCCTTGATGGTTAGTTTATTGTCTTCACATATGTGCTGCAAAATAAGTGTGGCCAAAATTGCCAGATTTATTTTACAGTGATTTGCTTTGCATCATACAATGACTAAAGCTCAGTTTAGATGGAAGCAATATGAAAATTTGAAACTTTGAAATATGGGCAATCTATGGTTGCTTTGAGATTTAGAACTCATTTACCATTTTCTTTTGATTTTATTTTTCATTTGTGCATCCAAACTTTAGCCAAAATGAACAGAAAGGAAAAAGTATTACGGATTCATCAGCTCGACCGCCAGTTCTGAGCCTGGACTTTCCGGGAGTGTTTGAAGTTATACCATGGCCGCCATCTGAAGACACTTTTCTTTCCCAAGATGGAGAAGAGCTTCCACCTTTGTTTGCAACTCTTGCCTGATGATGGTGGTGGAGAGGAGAGTGGTCGGCACTGTGTTCATGAAGGCTTGTTCTGGCTGTCCTCCTTTGAGGGGAGGCTGAGGGCCGTCGAGGCTGGTTGTCCTTCACCTTTGGGACTTCATCTTCAAGCCGGGCTTGAAATGATGGGTCTTCAGATTTTGGTATGCTTCCAGGAGCTTCATCAGGACTCCCATCCGTATCAACTGGGTTGATCATCATCCCTGATATATTATGCTTTTGGACATTATCAGAGTACTGGGTGTTCTCATTACTATCCTGTTTGCCAATTTTAGATGCCTGATCCTGTTGCTGCAACCAAGATTTTTATAAGAACTTGGTGTATCGATCTAATGGATTGATTGCATCAGGAGATTTTTGCAAAATTTAATAGAAATCAAGTGAGTTATAACGAAAAAATTGACTAGAGCTGAAGCAAGATAATCTCAGATTGCTACCAAAGATAAAGTACAAAACATATAATTTTTCATCGTGTGCGGTAAGGTAATGAATTATTTGGAGGAACAAAAATGATAATGCGATGCGACTCCATTTGTTTCAAATTCTTTTACTGGGAAATTTTTTTCATTCCAACCCTTCAAAATTCTCGTTATAACTCTTTACTCCCAACCACCAACTTCTGACCAATTAGCCGTGGCTGCTGGTAACCCATCCTCATTACAGCTACACCAATTGACTCTGACTCAAATACATCTTAAAATGAAAAAAGTCTGATGCAATGTAGAGAGCTAGCATTTCTATCAATGGCTATAAATATTTAAGCTTTCCTTCAAATAGAGCTCACCATAACAAGAAAAAGGCAGTGAGATGTAATTTGGTGAAAGTATAAAATAAGACGGATGAAGCACAATTTGATTATACTTGTATGATCCAACAAAAAGCTATAGTTTTTGTTGGAATCATTACTAGTTTGAAACATTAATTTCATGTTCTCCTGGAAGAAATAATAGATGAAATTTAAATGAACTTTCATTTTAAGAATTGTTTTATATAAAAAAAAGAAATTATAAGTTTCAAATATTTGCTAATATATTTTGCACCACCATTTCACAGCAGTATGATGCCTTGGTCATTTTAAGCACTATCATCATCTTTAGTCTTATCCTGACTATTTGGAATCTATTTTATGAATTTTTATTCCCCATTCATTCTAAAGAGTATAGCAAGATATGCAATACTTAAATACATGAATCTTTTTGTACAACTTCTATCCATGTTACTTTTGGTCAAACTCCTTTCCTTCTTAATAATTGGCATTAAACTTTTTTACCCATTTTTTGGTTACTTTTTTACCATTTATTATGCATTTCCAAACTACTTGAGTTTATTTTATCCTGCCCCATCTTCAATAGATGTTACTTTTATTGTCTCTCTCATAAATTCACTTCTCAAGCTTTTCTTGTGATTCACACATCTATTTTAGTATTCTTATTTTTGTAGTACTTGTCACAGGACACAATAGAGAAAAATGATTCATATAGCCGACCCCACGTAGTGGGATAAAACCTTGATGTTGTTATTATTGTTGTTGTCAACTTGAGAACTACAATGGATTTGGCCTATGTTAGGAAAGGTAGATCAATACATATACTCTCCTAACCGGGCATCAAAAGGCCGATATTTTGTGTTCAAATCATCTAAGGTGACTCTCTTTAATCTTATTTGCCACTGGAGCTACTTCAACCTTTTCACGTACATACTTATTTTGCATTGTGTCTCTAAGATTGAATCCACTCATCCACCTGAGCATCTAAGGAGACTCTCTCTAATCTTATCTGCCACTGGATTTTCTCTTTAAGTTTGTCGGAACACCCTATTCATCAGAGACTGAAAAGTAATAAGGGCGTTAGTGAGAACAAATGGCATCACCAAGAACTCAATGTCCCTCGTGCATTCGGAATGTCGTCTTCTGAATATCCTCCTTCATTCTGATTTGGTGATAGCCTGACTTCAGGTCCATCTTGGAAAACACTACTGTTCTGTGCAGCTCATCTAATAGCTCGTCGATCATCGAAATAGGGAATTTATCAGATACTGTCTCCTTGTTCAAAGCTCTGTAATCAATGCAAAAACTCCAGCTCAAAAAAACTCCTGCTCCCATCCTTCGTTTTTACTAATAAGACTGGACTGGAGAAAGGACTCACACTAAGTCTAATGATACCTGCCTCCAACATCTCCCTAATCAACTTCTCAATTTCATCTTTCTGAATCTGGGGGTAACGGTAAGGTCGAACACTGATCGGCGACACCCCATCCTTCAGAAGGATTGCATGCTTCTGCTCTCTGGGTGGTCGCAAGCCCTAAGGTGACTGGAAAATCTCCCTGAATTGTTGTATGAGTGGTTGCACCACCAGTGGAATATCTCCCTCTTCCCCCACACTGACCCTCTTTAAGTGTTGTAGCTCTACCAAATATCCTCCTCCCATCTCCTGTATGGATCTGATCATAGATTTGAGAGAAACTCCTAACCTAGACAGCCCTGCATCCCCCTGGATCACCATATTCTATCCTTCCACCATCAATTCCATCCTCAGTGCACCCCAGTTGACCTTAATCTCCCCCAAAGTCTGCAGTCATTTTATCCCCAGTATGACATCGATACTCCCTAATTCTAAGGGAAGGAAATCCTCCCTCACCTATATCCCTTAATGGTCAAAACCACTCCCCTGCAAATACCTCTCCCCATCTCTACCTTCCCCATGCCCATCATATCACTCCATATCCTCTCGTGTCCACTAATTTCACTCCTAACCGATTTATAATTTGGTTAGAGATGAAATTGTGGGTGGCCCCTCTATCGATCAACACCACTACCTCCTGATCCCCTATCTCTCCATTTACCTTCATGGTGTGATTTGGTGTGAATCCCACCACCAAGTTTAGAGAGACTTCAGCTACGTCCAGGTGTAGCTTATCTTCTTCTTCCTCCACTACCCCGCTCTCACCTCCCTCCTCAGTTTCCTCGTCATCACAAACGAAGAGAACCTGAAGAGTTCGGTCCTTACACTTATGCCTTGGTATGTACTTCTCATCGCACCTGAAATACAACCCCTTAGCCTGCTTCTCCTAGATTTCCTTGTCAGTCAGCTTCTTGAAATTTCCTCCAGGACCACCTCCTCCAGTCCTCTCCTTTGTTGCCTCTTGTGAACCTCCCGGTGCAGCTCCTTTGGGAGCTAGAAAAGTAGTAGTCATCCTGTAGGGCTCCCCAGAGCTATTGCCTTGAGCCCCCCTCTCCAGATGCTTCTGGTCCTCCACCAGCTATGCCAACTCCATGGCCTCCCCCAAATCGCGTGATCTCATCAATCTAACGGCTACTCTGATCTCTGGTTTGAGCCCCTTCATGAAGTTCCCCTCTAGCTGGTCTCATAAAAACGATCTAGCCTGCTCGCTAGATACTCAAACTGGTCACGATAATCTGCCACCGCCCCCTCCTGTGTCAGCGCAAAGAACTGCTCGTAGAAGTCTCCTCCCCGACTGGTTCGAAAACACTCTAGTAGACAATCCTTGAACTCTCTCCAGCTTCGAATGGGTCGCCTCATGTCCCACCATTGGTACCACGCTAATGCCTTCCCTTCCAAACACAATCCTGCAACTGTCAGTTTCTCCTCCTCTGTCAACCCATTGACCGCAAAGTATCACTCCACCTTGTAGATCCAGCCATGTGCATCCTCGTCCTCAAAGATGGGCATCTTCAATTTTCTCACCCTCGGGTCTCCCTCGTTTCCCCTAATTCCTCCATAACCTTCCATTCCCCAAGGGGGAAAAGCTCCCCAGGGGACAATCTTCCCTCCGACGATCGTACCCATACCCTTCCTCATATTCCCCTCTTCTCCTTTCATCTTATCCATTCTCTCCAAAAATTCAGCACCTCTCCTTTCATAGCCCATGCTCATCTCCTCCCTAGAAAGTGGTTCTAGCGGAGGCATTCCATCATTCCCCTCAAGGATCTCCACTTCCGTATTCTCCCTCCCCCTAAATGGGTTCGGGTTACCGCATCTCTCATTGTCTTCGGTTGCTTCCCTTGCTTCCAATGTCGTCGGATTTTGTTTGCCCTCTAATTAACATCTTCTTCATCATTTCTTCCAAGGTGGCGAACCTCCCATCCATCTTTTTATGGATGGAAGCGAATGGGTTTTGAAAATCAGCGGTTCTTTCTTCCAAATCAGTCTTCAGTTGGCCGATTTCTCCCTCCAATACTTCCACTTTCCTTCCGGCCATCTTCCCTCCCAAGGTTATCGAGAAGATATCTTGGGAATGAAGGTTCCTTGCTGAAATTTCGCAATTTCAGCCACTGATGGCCCCAAGACAACGCTCTAATACCAATTTGATAGGAAATACTTGAGTTCGCAAGTAACCACAAGGGTAATACTTTAGTTCACAAGAAAACCAATCAAGAATCGGCAAAAACAGTGAGCAAGGGGCGGATTTCAAGGAGAAATCAGGAAGACTAACGCCAAACTTTTGTAGAATGGAGAAGAAAACATCAAAGAACTCTTTAATTCAAATAACAACAAGAAGGATCAAGCAAGATACAATTTTCTTCAATTCGAGAGGAAGCAAAAACCTCCACAATCTCTAGCTAAGCGTAGATCCCCGAAACAAACCATAGACCTCAAAATTTCAGCCAATCTCAAGACGAAACCCTAATTCTAGCATTAGTCACTAATTAAAGCCAAAGGAGGAATACCAATTCCCTAAACACACTTTCAATTCAAAATTTCCTCCCAAATTGGATTAAAGCAAATTGGGCTCACAAGGGCTTCCCCCCCCCCCCCCCTTGTTTCGTTGGTTCCTCCTCCAGACCGGCCAATACATTGAGGACTGGTCCAGCCGGCTCCTTTTGGGCCCGGCCTAACAGTGGTCCAAGATTTATGCTTTCTTTTAGTTAGGTTCTTTTGTAGTCTTTTGTATTGCTTTGATTAGTTTCTTGTATTGCTCTTTGTGCTGCCATTAGATGGCTATAAATTTGTATTAAGGCATTCAAGCCATAAGCCAAAAAGCAATAGAGAAATCCTGTTTTCATATTTCAGCCTCCTCTCTCCCTCTCCTCTTCCCTCTCTCCTTTCTAGATGCTCAAGAGGAAGTGCTTCTTCCTCTCATCCAAGATTCTACAGTAAATAATTAGGTGAAATGCTCAAGACTTACATTTTAATAAAAAAATATAACCATGCACACACAAAAAATAGTGACTTAAAAATTCATCATATTCGCTCCCTGCTTGAATGCTATGCCATAAGCCATATGATATGCCAAAAGATGACATGGTCTAGGTTCAAAAGACTTCTAAGATC